AATTTCATTTCATGCCTATAAATCATGCTGGGACTTCCTATTGGGGGAGGCCGTATTGTTGGAGAAACAGGGTATTTTGGGGTGGGCAAAGGAGCCCCCCTGCCAAGCACAAAGTCTCTCTTTCTCTCTCTAGATCAGGGATCAGGCTCTTATCGATACACTCCAAACTGGGGGGGGGGGGCTGACTTTGGAGGCTCCAGGAGGAAGGAGGAGGAAGGTCCCTTTTGGGAACCTTGGGCTGCTTTGAGGTTTAAATGGCAGATTCAGCCGACTTCCCTCCCTCCCTCCCTTTTCCTTTCTTTTCTCTCTCTCCCTCCCTCCCTTTTTCCTTTCTATTCTCTCCCTCCCTCCCTTCCCTTCTTTTCTCCCCCCTCCCTTTTCCTTTCTTTTCTCTCCCTCGATTTTCCTTTCTTTTCTCTCCCTACCTCCCTTTTTCCTTTCTCTTTTCTTTCCCTCCCTCCTTTTCCTTTCTTTTCTCTCCCTCCCTTTTCCTCTTTTCTTCCTCCCTTTTTCCTTTTTCTCTTCCTCCTTTTCCTTTTCTCTTCCTTTCTTTTCTCCTTCCCTCCCTTTTTCTGTTTCCCTCCCTCCCTTTTTCCTATTTTTTCTCCCTCCCTTTTTCCTTTCTTTTCTCCCTCCATCCCTTTTCCCTTCTTTTTTCTCCCTCCCTCCCTTTTCCTTTCTTTTCTCTCCCTCCCTCCCTTTCCCTTCTTTTCTCCCTCCCTCCCTTTTCCCTTTTCTCTCCCTCCCTCCCTTTTCCTTTTTCTCCCTCCCTTCTTTTCTCTCCCTCCCTCCCTTTTTCCTTTCTTTTCTCTCCCTCCCTTTTCCTTTCTTTTCTCCCTCCCTTTTCTTTTTTTCTCTTTCCTTATCTCCCTCTCTCCCTTTTTCCTTTCTCTTTTCTCCCTCCCTCCCTTTTTCCTTTCTTTTCATCCTCTCTTTTCCTTTTCTCTCTCTCTCCTTTTCCTTTCTTTTCTCCTTCCCTCCCTTTTTCTCTCCTTTTCCTTTTTCTCCCTGCCTCCTTTTCCTTTTTGTATCTCCCTCCCTTCTTCCTTTTTCTCCTCCCTCCCTTTTTCCTTTCTCTCCCTCCCTCCCTTTTTCCCAACTTTTCTCCCTCCCTCCCTTTTCCTTTCTTTTCTCTCCCTCCCTTTTCCTTTCATTTCTCCCTCGCTCCCTTTTCCTTCCTTAATTTTCATGGTCCAACTCTGCCCTTTTCATCCCAGTTTCATGGTGGGCAACACCCATTCAGCAAGGAGACGTAATGGTGTAGCCACTGGATGCAGATATTTGCTTGTTATGATACAAGAGTGTTGCGTTGGTCTGGCGTGAGTGAGCAAAGAGATGGGATTCCCCTGCTTCCTCCCTAAAATATTTTTAAATAAATACTTTTCTTCCTTATCTGCATGATTGGCCTTCAGTGGACATGATTGTAGATGACCAGGGAGAAAAAAGGGAAGATTACCGGGTTTATGCAGGAATCCTCAGAT